TTCCTTCCTTCCTTCCTTCCTTCCTTCCTTCCTTCCTTCCTTCCTCCCACCATTAAGACACAAGCCTCAACCAGCCCAGACCAGTCCTGGAGTCACTCACAGGCTGGAGGAGAAAGGGTTGCTCTCCAAGTGTTTGGGGCTTGCTCTGTGCTAGATGCTCTGCTACATGCCTGTCCAGCATTCTCTCACTGAGCCCCTGCAGGCCTCCAAGCTAGGCGCTATATGATACACATTGTAAGAACGAGGCTGGTGAGGTTTGACAGGTGAAGTACCTTGCAGTGGAGTAAGGCTGGAGTGAGGATTTGGACCAGGTTTGTGACTCCAGAGCCAGATGTGCTGACCGCAGGGTCACACTGTCCCTTCGCTTGTGTGGCTCCGTGGCTCACCAGCACCATCCGCTCACTTGAGCCTCACAGTCATCCTGGGAGACAGGCAGGGCAAGTATCGTAAGGCCCCATTTGACAGATGGAGAAACTGAGGCTCAGAAGAAGGATGTGACTTGCCCAAGGTCACACGGGGAGATAGGGCAGAGCCTGGACTTAGACCACAGTTCTGGGTGGAGGTGTTTCTCCTGCAGCTGCGCCGTCTGCTCTGGACGCCAGGGCAGGTGTAACCACTGTCACCCCCTAGATAAGGAGCTTTGCCTCTTTCTTCCTTTCCATTTTCCAGTATGATGTGTCAGTTGAGTGTAGTTGAGAGTAAAAGTGCGACATTCCCATCGGAGAAAGCGAGGCACCTGCTGGACGACAGCGTCCTGGAGTCGCTCAGCCCCCGCAGGGGCCTCGCCCTCGCCTCCTCCTCTGCCGTCACCAATGGACTCGCCCTCGGTAAGCGTCTCCGGCCTGCACACCACAGCGGGTGGGCCACAGCCCGGCGTGTGTCTGTCTCTGTCACCGTGCAGTGCCTGGTGGCCCCTCACCCCCTGCAGAGGGGGCTCCCCACAGGCGTCACCAGAGCTAGGGAGGCCTTTGCTTCCTGGCCTCCGAGGCTTCACGAAATGCCCTGGGTTTGTCCTCATCCTGCTGGTGGCCCTGAGAGTGGCAGGCAGGCTGGACAAGGACCTGAGACCCGCCATCCTTGGCCGGCAACTGCCGAAGCCTGATCGCTGCCCCCGCGGGGCTCCATCCCTGGGGAGCCACGGCCCCCGCACGTAGGGCAGAGGAGGAGGTGCTGCCCAGGGACGGCAGCGGGGCGGCCACCAGGTGCTCACTGTGCCCCTGTCTTCACACTGAGAAGCCAGAGTGAGGGAGGGTAAAAAACTGATCTGGGATGAAAGCATATGTCTGAACTTCAGCCAGAAATGGTGCTTATGTCCATGGAAGGACAGAAACTGAGCTGCTGGGGCCAGGAGGGGAGGGGTCAGAGCTGAGGATGGCGTTGAGCTCTGGTCACAGGTCTGTCCCGCTGCAGTGTCCAGGTCACCTGACCAGGTCATCTAGGTCATTTCTGCTGTCAGACAAGCGCACTCTCCACTGGCCGTGTCCTTTCAGTGTGCCCATGCTTCTGTAGTCTGTGTGTCTGTCTACTTCCCTTAACAGGGAGCCCTCCCGGGGCTGGCAGCAGGTTAGTCGGAGGCCTGTAGGGTGGAGGGCCCCTGGGCATGGGACGGAAGAGGGTGGTGTGGACAGGACAATCGGGCAGGAATCTCACATCCCACGTCCTCCTGAAATGAGGCCCGTCTCCGAGGCAGTGCCACTGCAGGGGGCAGCTGTCTCCTACCTCCTGGAAAATCTGTGACAAGCAAGGTCCATGTCTGCCTTCTGTCCAGGAAGGAGGTCATCCCACTTGGACCCGGTCAGGGGTTTATACCGGCTTAGGACAGCGTAGCCTGCGGTTCATGGGTGTGCCTTGGGGAAAGAATTCAGGGTCTGTGTGTTGGGGAAAGGCTGGGATAAACCACGTAGGCAGGTCTCTTCCCAGAGACTTTAACGTGCCTGTGGGCTCTGTGGGTCTCCCAGAAGGGAGCGGAGTCTGCAGGTTCCCTCGTTATCTGGGCAGGAACCATCTTCCTTGGAGAGTCCTCTGGGATGGGGTTCTGAGGAACCGGTCTGGGAAATGCTGGCCCAAGAGCATTCAGCTGGGCAGCAGAGCGGCTGTTTTACATCCAGGAAACTTTCTGAGCTGCGCCTGAGCCCAGGCCTTTCTATTCCTGAGACAGAAAACTGAGTCAGACGCAATGCTGTCCAGTATCCAGGCGGGAGATCGCCAGGCAGTTTGGTTCTCGGCTCTTCTACTCGGGAAACTCACATGTTTTTCCGTTTGGAGCTGAAAGGCTGGGAGCACGTTGCCGTATGTGCACGTGCCCTGTCTGGAGCTGAACTGGTCCCCTCTGTCCTGTAACTCCCAAGGGACCTGAGATCTCCTTTTCCCCCTCGCACTGCCCAGCTGTGGTGTCAGCAGGCAGCCCAGGCAAAGAGTGTGGAACCCAGGCCTCTCCGAGAAAATCTCTCTGCTGTCCTCGTGGCTGAAGCCGGGCCTTGGAGAGTCCAAGTCGGCCACAGGGGCAGGCCTGGGGGAGGGCTGGGCCCCGCTGTGTGGACACTGCCCAGGATCTGAAGGGGCGCTCCGTCGGGGCCTCTGTCTGCTGCTAGGCAGCTGCTCCCTGACCAGCGTCTAGTCGAGCCCTGACCTTCGGAGGAAGAAGTGTGCTCGTTTGGCCCCTGTCTTCACCAGGTGAGGCCTGTTTGACACTGGTTTTACTTGGGCCAGAAGGGAGGCGGTGGTGAAGCCAGGCCAGGCCAAGACAGAGGCCTAAGGGCCCAGACCCCAGAGGACTGGTGGGCAGGCAGCTGCAGCCCTCAGGGGCAGGAAAGGGAGTGGAGGACCCACCCTCAGGGGCAGAAAACAGCGGGACGGGATGGGCCGAGAGTCAGAAATAGCAGCAGCAAAGCAGGAGCCGAGCCATGCTGACAGACACAGGGCCAGGAAGCTGTCGCCCCGGCACGTCTGTGCAGCTCAGGACCCGGGCCCGGTGGCCCAGGAGAGCGGGCCGCTCCGGGTGGGCCCTCTTCTGCGAGGCCGCCGCACTCATCCATCTGTGTTCCTCCTGCAGGCAGTAGTGAGAGCTCAGAGTTTAGTGAAGAGACGTCTTCAGGGCTGGCAAGGTGAGTGTGGCCTCTGCTCGGCCTCCTTCCCAGGGGCTCGCTCAGGGCCCGGGGAGCTGGAGACCAGCCCCCCCGACCTCACCGGCGGCCCAGCCTGGTGAGGCTGCCCTGTGGCTCCGGAAGGGCAGCGTGCGCAGCCCGCGGTCGGGGCTGCCGAGGCAGCCGCTGGGCAGGATGGGCATGGGACGGGCGTCCCAGCCCCTGCTTGGGCAGCCTTGCGTATCACCTGGTCCAGAGCTGGCCTGGGAGTCTGAGGCCAGCACCCGAGGAGACCTGGGTGCAGATTTGGTCTGAAATGAGGGTTCTGGAAACCAGACGCCTGAGAACAGGCCTCGTCTGGAGACGGGCTTGTGGCTCCGCCTGGTGGGGTCTGAGTGCGCTGCACCCCCGTGGCCTCGGGCCTTTGGGCCGACACCTGCCATGCTGGGCACTGGTGAACGAAGGGGACCCTGGTCCGGGGTTGGGCTCCCTGCAGCCCACCCGTCTGCCCCGGGGATTCACCCCTTGCACCTACTCCACTTGCTGCCGTTTCCTTTGCGCCAGGCACCAGGTGGGCTCTGGGAAGACAGGGACTCTGCACGGGGAGCTCCCACAGCCTAGGCGCCGCCGAAGGTGAAGGGCATCGTGGCGACTTAAGTTCTGAGGGGAGCCAGGGAGACCCAGTGATGCAGAGGCAGGTCTGCACCGTCCCTCAGAGTAGCCCTTCCACTAGCCTGTGTGCACAGGCACACACACACTCACACGGACACACACGCTACACCCTCTGCGTACGTGTGTATGTACACACATACACATGCACACTCACATACGCTCACACAAATTTGGGTGTACATTCACTATGCAGGCATACACATGCCTCTCACACATATACACACACTCCTCCTCTGGTGTTGAAGCCGCCTGTCTCCTCAGCCTCCACAATCATAAATGACCAGAGAAGGGGTGAATCCGGCCGTCCCTACAGGGCAGAGTGCTGTCATGTGGGGATAAGTGAGCTTTGCTGAGCGCTCCCTGTGTACCAGGCACTGTCGTGGTCTCTCCCAATCCTCAGACCTAGCTACGCGGTGGTTACTCGTAAAATGTCCCTGTTTCGTGCCTGTGGACAGCAAGGCGTGGAGAGGTGACGTGGCGGTCCTGCCTCACCCGCCCCTGGTGGGCAGAGCTGACCCACGTCCACCTCCCCCGATCATGGGGCCCACTTCATCACCACCATGCCTTGTCCAGAGCCGCTGCGACACTGCAGGGACTGGCCCCACGTCGGTCAGCCAGTCCATCTGTCCTCGTGAAACCCTAGGTAGGGGGCTGAAGAGGGGGAGGGACGACGCCCTGAGCCCTCGGAGCTCCACCCTCTGTCCCGCCGCAGGCCTCCTGGAGGGATGTTTGCTCTGATTTGGGGAGCACAGGCAAACGGGCCCCACTGCCCTCTCCCTGCCCACCCCAGGGAGGGGTGAGAGCCAGACAGGCACTGGGCAGACTCTGATCTGACGAGTGGAAGTTTGACTTTTCTCAGCACCGGTCAGGGGACTCCTGGGGCAGCCCTGAGGAAGGGGGCTTACGGAGAATCCAGCACCTCCCCAACCACGGGCCAACGAGAGGACATGGATCCTGAATAGTATCCACACCTGGACCTGCTCATGGCTCGTTCATTCCTTCGTTCACTCACCCATTCCTTGTGTCCACTCGTTCATTCCTTCGTTCACTCATTCATTCAAAGCTGTTTATTAAGCAGGTTGCTCCCTGCCAGACACCTTGCCAGTCACTGAGGGTGGCAGATACGGTGCCTACTAACCACCCACGACTGAGATCAGAGCTACCAGGAAGGAAGGTGGTGAGAGAACTCCCGCTCAGGGAGACGGTGCTGTGCTCCACTCAGGGGGAACACCAAACGCTGTAGCGTTTCTCTTCTGTCTCTTTCACTTAGGATCTAGCATTAGACCCGCTCTCCATCTGAATGTCTCTAACAGGACTCTGGGTGGGCTTTCTGGCAAGCGCTGGTCTCACAGACAGCTGGCCTGTGCAGGTGTCCAGCTCCACCGCCAGGAGAATGGCCTGTCCCTCACCTCCTCGGGACCCAGCTCCCAGTCCGGCCCCTTCTTGCGGAGGGGAACAGGAGGCCACCTGCTTTGGAGGATGCCGGCGGGGCTAGGATGTCCCCTCTGGCACCTTCCGAGACCCAGGGCGGTCCTGACGGTCCAGACGCCAGCTGCCCCTCGGCCTCCAGCTCCCGTGGCCCAGCCTCCAGTCTCCATTTCCGTCCTGCACTGGCCTCTTCTCATGTCCCCCAGAAAGAGTCCACTCCCTCAAAAGCATGTGAGCGTTCTAGACTTTCCTGAAGACCCCACGGGAGATTTGGAGGGGATTTATCTCACACGCTTTAACATCTTTGTAAAATGTTACTCGTTTCTCTCACAGTTCAGTGACCACAGTTCCTGTTGCTGCCTGGGCCTCCTTATTCCTAACCTCCGCCCGCCCAGAGCCCAGGCCCACGGGACCTCTGTCCACGCCGGCCTCCCGCGTGCCACGTTTCCGCTGCTCACTGAAGGGGAGCAGATTCCCTCTTCCCCGGGAGCCGGGCCTCACTCTTCCTGGCCCCAGAGGCCAGCGGCTGCCCCCAAGGAACCTCCCCTCCCAGACCCCCTGCCCACTGTTCCCAGCAAACGCTGTAAGAACCCGCTCTCACTGCATCTTTACACGTGCATGGGTGGACGGTGGCGTCAGAACCAGAGACAAGGGTGCAGGAGAGGGCTGGGCCAGTCCCCACAGAGGAAGAGGTCCTGTCTGTTCCAGTCCCCAGAGGCCAGGCTGGGAGAGGGGGGCAGCACCTTGCCCCACAGCCCTGAAGCTTACAGGCCACAACCTTCAACTGACTTGCCCACCAGCCCCCCAGCCCTGGTGACAAGCTTGGCCTTGGCCAGGAAGAGACATGGAGCCAGATACCAGCACGCAGGGCCGGGAGGCCCAGGCCAGTGACCCGGCCGCCGGCACACACCCCTCTGTTGGTCTCAGGGCACATCATAGTCAGCCTTTGTGCTGCTGTGAACAGGGAGGTAGGACGGTTCTCGTTGTCTGGCCGAGGGTGCGATCGTGTGGCCCATCTTGCAAGTTTGCCTTCCCTGATTCACTCCCCTGGACGTTTCAGCCCTGTGGCCCCCAGGCGTCCTTGGGTGGCAGCCGGAGCTCAGGCTGTGCCCAGTGGTTCCTGAAGTGGCCAGCCTTAAAGAGCACCCGCTTTGGAGCCCCCAGAGTCCCGGGACCCGCCCGGCTGCTCTCTGGCAGAGTGGCCGCACCCAGCCACTCTTCCTGCTGGGCCTTCTGCCGCTGCTCTCACCCTCCTGTCCCTCATCCAGCTCAGCCTCAGCAGGTCGCAGGGCCCGTGGGCTGAGGAGGGACGGGAAGAGACGGGAGCCCTGAGGCGGCCAGACCCTGGGCAGTGCTGGTCATTTCTCAGCCCCCAGGCGGCCCCCAAAGACCCTCCCTGTCTTCAGAGCCCAGAATGAGGACAGAGTGGTGGTCCTGGGTCAGGGCCCTGGGGAGCCAGAGGCCGGAGTCTCAGGGGAGGGGGCGAGGGTGGGACGCCCCTCACGTCCCTGACCTGGTGTTTTCTCACCTGGTCCTGGGAGTGGGACGAAGGCAGGAGAGCCCTGTGTCACATCTGCTTTCCCAGGGAGGCAGGGAGGTGGCCCCGGAAAGGCATTTTCAGTGCATCCTGGATGAAGTGGAATGTGGGAGCTGTGGACGCTGCACCAGGCTGGCCTCAAGCAAACCTCAGCCTCCTCAGAAATGGCACGGGGAGCAGGGAGCGTTAGTCGGGCCTGTCGGTAAGAGGTAACGGCTGCCTCTTTACGCCTGCGTTGGCACTGAAGTGAGAACAAGAACCTCAGCCTAGGAGTTAAACATTTTAAATGAGGTTTTTACAGAGTGAAGCGGTTTATGGGGTTGAACACATGTGTGTACGTATGAAGGTACATAATATTGTTCCTCTTGGTTGTCTCTGCTTGTAGAGTTACCGAGAGACTTTCTTTATTTTCTTTTTCTGTATTCTCCAAATTTTCTACAATGGGTAAATGTTTCTTTTTCACCCAGGAAAAAAGCAACATTTAACTTTCTAAGAGAGGGTGTAATCAGAGATATCTCCTGGTCACGTTGTAAGGCGTGAGTATGAAAGCACGCCACAAGGTGCGTTCCGGAACACTCAGCCATCCTGCTCTAGCCTGACGCTGCCAGGCTGTGCAGAATGGCCTTCTCACGTGACAGACAGGCCAAACCATGGGCGGCGGAGAGACTAGGAGGCCGAGGGGTCCTTGGAGGAAACCCCTCTGGTGGGAGAGGGAAAGGGAGCAGGAGAGGAAAATGCACCAGCCCCCTCAGAACCAGAGCTGTTCACCCTCCTTTTTGGGGAGGTCGAGCTGCATCGGGGGGCCGGTCACAGCTCACGGACAGACCAGGTGGGAGACAGAGATTCAATCCACGATGCCAGGTGCACAAGGGGTCACGAAGAGGATGCGACGGGAAAGCCCAGCAGGGGGGCCCGAGTCAGACTGGGGGGTTCATGGGTGGCTTCTGGTTCAGCAAAAGCCGAGGACATTGGGTGAAGAGGACCACAGTGGGCCCTCAAGGGGGGTCCTGGGACCTGAGGAGGCTGCGAGGCCTGAGTCGTGTCCAAGGAGGGGAGAGGTGGCCCAGGGAAGCTGTGTGTCCCTGAGTCTCTGCAGGAGGGGTGGGCTCCGTGATGAGCCCTGGTCTCTGAAGTTCTGAACGTGCCTCTGCAGAGAGAGGACGTCGTGACCTCTGGACACTGTCAGCAGCGTTGGGGGGTGGAGGGGTGGCCAGGGCTGAGGTCAGGGCCGCCTACTCTCTCAGGGGCCTTGGGCATGTCTCTCAAGCTCTCCGAGCCTCAGGTTCCCCAGCTCTACAGGCAGGATGCTCACAGGAAATACTGGACACATAGGTGCAGTTGCTCCTGGCGGGGAACTTACTTTGGGATGTGTATGAATTTCACT